AAATACCCATAAAGCGAGAAAGCAAACTGTGGACTGCTCTCAAAACCTTGGTGTTTCCACAAGTCATACAAGCTGCTACACCTCGTTGCAGGGGTTTGAAGCTGCTAAGAATAGCAGGGGGCTGCAGTACAGTTAGCAGGAAACTTAAGACCTCTAAGCCAGTGCAAATGTTGGCAAAGTTGGCCTGATTGGGTTGTTCCTAAAAAGAGCACACACAAAAATGCAGTGAGTGGGGGAAAATCACACAAGTATTACACAGAATAGTAAGTCCAGATCAAATCTGTTGAAAATCTGTAATAAAGTTGAGGTTTCTACACTAGCGACGTTTCACGTCAATCTTTTAGGTAAGTCATGCAATACAGAACTGTAAAATACAAGGCGCTATAAAATCTTTAACCATAAAAATGTTACTTAAGCATTTGCAGTATGTTCCTTCTGATGTGTTTTCTGGTCCTCAGTTTTGAAAGTTGCCTGCAACCTTGCTGGTTAGAAATGCTTTCGACAGAGGATAATGTTTTATCTTTTTGTCAACATCGTTCAGAGACAGGCCTTCAGTGAAGAGCTAAACCAGCATATTCTATGACAAGTTATAGCTTAAAAGGTTAGAAAAGGGGATATTTGGAACTAAAGAAAAAAAAAATATTCCTAGACATAACTTTGTAAACCTACAAAATGATCATTAAGATAGTAAATTAGTCTGCTGCAGAAGCTTTATTCTTTTTTCTGAACCTCCTGAATAACTGATGCCACATAGCACAAAATTAAGATATAAAATTCCTGTTCCAGAGGGCTTCTATCCTTGTATTAAGTAAACATGAACCATGTCCACCTTCCTCAGGTCTGAGGGGTGGTATGGTGCATTTGTTTTGAGGTGGGGGAAGGAGAAGTGGAGTAGGCTAGGTTTTGATTTTTGGCTCGCTCTTAGATGCAGTGCACTTTGCCCACCTTCCCCAAATTCATGAAAGACGATAAACTCAAAGATTTGTCTGAAAGGCAGAGGGAGAAGATCACACACTCTGCAAGCATATGAACTGTCTGAATTGCACTCTCTAAAGTTATTTTTCTACCTCCACCATCTTCCCCTCTGTTCCAGAAAGAGGGGGCAACAATGGTCTGTGCATAACATGCAGCTCTTCTTCAGCAGCCAGCACATAGATACTCACAACCCTCTGCCTTCAGTGCAGAGGAATCACTTAAAGCCATGATTCCCCTGAAGTCATACTGCTGTTACTGCACAGCCTCCATTACTTTGCACTTAAGTAGCCTTGCAATTGTGTAAGTAAGGAAGATGAGTAGGAGGTAATCCTTGTGCAACAATGGTCAGAACTAACTACAGTTCTTCCTGTTGTAGGCTATCAAATGCAATCAACAGGAAAAAAATTACGAATTTTAATAGCAATTTTCACTCAGGTTGCACACTACTTGGAAAAAGACAAGTAAAGCAACAAACTTTAGCTCCCTGGAGCACTATCAACACTTGTAAACCCAAAACAAATGGAGCCACATCAAAAACTCTTCCAACAGAGGGAGAGAAGAATGAAAGCAGATACTTTCAAGGACTATCTCCATAAAGACAACAGCATTACAAAAGCATAGCACACTTAGCTCAACATTTGGAAAAAATGGGCCGCAGCGAATTTTCATGTAATCTGAGACGTTTTAAAGTTTCCAAAAGTAGGATCTAGTACTCCTTTATTCAAAGAAACAGAAAAATGACATCAAGAGAGCTCCGAAAAATTTAACACAGCAAGACTTCTTAGTCTATTAGATAGTATGATACAAATACAATAGGTATAGAAAAACTTACTATATGGCAAAAAGCATATAAATAGCATACAGATGATAAAAAAATATGTTTTCTCATCGGATACAGGAAGCTAGACTTTGAGTGAACTACATATTACCGTAACATAGTCAGAAAACTAGAAACCAATAAAATCAATTTGTAAAACTTCCTACTAACAAAAAGAGACCAAAACAAACAAAAAAACCACACCCACAACCAGTAGGCCATCCAAACAAGCAAACCACAACCTATTTCAAAATCAAAGTAATACAAGAAATTACTCCCCCTGCTCCTATTTTAATATTTGTAAGTACTGCAGCTATACAAATTATAACCACTGATGCAATTCACATATTTAACAATGTATGTATTCACTACAAAGAAGAAAATATTAAGACTGTAAAAATCAGTGTCCACATATCATTAGTATTCAATCAAATAGGTGCTGGTGAAACCTAAAGACCTACAGGACTAGCATGTCACCTACCACAGTCATTAACAGCTTATCAAACCACTGCAACTTCAGTTCTGATTTTGGCCACATGTCTGGTCGTAAAGCTGTTTTCAGAAGGTTGACACAGCGGCGAGACAGCAACTCCCCAGGAGATCCAGCAGTGTTTGAGTTGTCATTTACCTAGGAATTAGTCAGAGTTAACAAAATGACACCCTTTTGTAACCAACTCATTAATTTATTATGCACTCCAAGCAAGCATATAACTTCTTATTTCTGAAATGGATGAGCTTAAGTAGTTTTATCAGTATAGTCACAGAGTATTTAACTGTGTAAAAAGCTGACAACTAATAGTCAACATCAGAACTGGTGTCTGAACTGCTAGCTAATTACCCCAAATGACCCATCAAAGGTATATTAAAAAAAGTTTAATCCCATACGTTATAACTCTGAACATGCTCAAGATGATTAACCTTTTCTGTTTGCAAGGTATCCATAAACATACATAGCTCTTCACTCAGTTCATCTTTATACTTCAAGAGCATGTCTATTCTGTGTGTATAAATGTGGTGTATAAAATCCCAGGTTACTTACCAGCTGAGTCTGCTGCAGAAGCAGAAGCCATAAAATTTGTCAGCTTTGAGCTACACCCAGCTAATTGTCCCCACTCTAGAAAAGTTAATTCTTAACAAAATTTGGTGAAAAGCTTTAGTTCTACATCCTGCATGAAAAGAAGTCATTCAATGTATTTGATCTTGAAAATACAATTACAATCATTATCCTTAGATATGTAATTGACACAGTCTTTCCTTACTGAACTCTCTAAATATTCTTCAGCCTTTGGGTAAAATATCTTTGCCATTAAATCCAGGCAATAGAACAAGCACTTTGCAGCATCAGGCAAATACATAAATTAATTAAGAAAAAACAGTTATGGGAACTTTCTGAAGTCTTTGCCTTGCTCCAGCCAAATTCTACTAGTCATGTTTATTTCAGTCATGTCACAACTGATATAGCACTTGGTTGAAAAGAGAAAGTAAAGAAGAAACAAAATGCCAGAAGTGATCAACAGCACAGTAAAATGGAGACTCATCCAATTTCAAAATCTGGATTGCAACCATTCACATTTAAAGTTTTAATTTCAAAGTGTACGCTCCCTGCATCAAGCTATAAATGTACCAAGCCAACAATAAGAAGCTAAAATATACCTCTCATGTATAATATCCATCATTTGTGAAATGACAAACATGCAGAAACTGGTTATCAAATTCAATTTCTTTCCTCCTTAAAATAAAAACATTTTACTTTTTGTACAATTTCGCATTAGTTTCTAACCTTTCACCAAAAGAAAGTATACAAACACTACAATAATCCAGGCATAAAAGAACTCTTATGAAAAGAGAGATTTATGGGTTTGACCACTAATGCCGCATTGGTAGTTGCATATCAGAATAACCATATTACCTGGCAAGCAATTCTAATCAAGAAATTCACGACTGTATCTGTATGCTGCTTGTCAATTGGCTTTGAAAGAAGCGCATCAGCTCCTGGCAAGGACTGGCTACGTCCAAATACCTGCATGTATACAAAACACAAAAACCATAAGCAACACTGAAGAAGGATAACAACAAGCAGAACAGAATTAGAATATTTTCTTAGAGTATAACCTTCAATTCAGGGAGTTTCGAGATATGTGGAAAAAACAACTAAATTGCAGATTATAATTTCAGAGTCTCTGAACAAAATCTGAATTTTTCTTACAGCACTTATTGCTCCTGTAGCTGTCCTGAATCGTTTTACTTCTTGGCCAGAATCAACAGACAACCCCCTTTTAACAGCAGATGAGGCAGAACTTGCTCCTTCTCCACTTGCACTTGAATCCATATCTGAATCTGGCTGAAATATCAGCAATGTGCACGTTAAAAAAGCATTTAACAGTATAACAGTTCAATCTTTACCAGTTTATTTAGACTTCCTACCTGCTGATCTTTAATTCTTTGCAATTCCCATTTAATAACTACTTCAGCAAGATCCACAGCTAATTTTCTTTGCTCTATTGTAACGCTGGGAGTGAAGCCCAGTCTCTGCATGGCACTAACCATATGCTGAACCAAGTGATGTCTCACCGGATAATAAACCTGAAAAGACGGTTTCACAGTCATGTTAGCCATTAACCAATAAAATTCTACACAAAAACTAGAGTCAAAATAAAGCAAAATGGTAATATAGTCTTTAATCCCAAAGTTTGCTAAATCTGTACCATGTTCAAAGTTTGCAATGCAGAAAAGTAACTGGTGCTTTGAAAAATAAAATTTTGGCAACAATTTTCAGTGGTGACTACTGATTTCATGTAACCAAATGAAGATACAGGATTTTTCGCAAGGACCAATCATTCCAATTATTAGCCGATCCTTTTAGAGAGCTACAACTCACATTTGAACACACTCAGATACTTTTTCAAAAAGCATTGAGGCATCAATTCCTGAAAACTGACTTAAATGCATATTAGCTAGCTGTCACTGTGGACTGTATTTTAATATGCATTTTCAAAAATGCTCCTACATTGACATTCTGCAGCATTCCCCCATTTGCTTAATGTTTCCCAATGTACATTAGCTGGAGATAAAAGTTACCTAGTTAACCCCCCAGAATATATAAATTCAAACAAACAAGGATTACTGGAGGATGGAAAAGAATATGGTTCTGCACTTTTGTTAAACAACTGTAACAGAGCTGTGAAGATTCTTTAAGAGCACTGCTAATGCATGTGCAATGAATTAATCTTGCAGACTTTCACCTAACATTTTGAGTTCTAACTTCAATCATGATAAAGCTTAATAAGTGGTTTGCTATTTAATTTTACTGTTTTCAGTTTTAAATAAATATCTTTGCAAACAGCTGATGCCTTTTAGAGTTAGACCATATAAATCAGATTACATTACTTTTGAATCAAACTGCAGTTTATATCCTTGATATCTGAGATACAGTGACTACGAGAATAACTGTTACAAGTACCTTGAAGTGTTGTACTATCAAGTGCAAAATATGTACTAGTTGAGGAACCGTATGACCCTCTTCCACAATGATTTTTCGTGTCCAGTGAGTCAGCATCTGATGTCCATCCTCCATTCGAGCAGGCACAGCTGGAGTCAGAATAGCCATTGCTTGCCTGACAATAGCTCGGGCCTCCATCGCATGAGCTTTTAGAAGACTGTGAAAAACCTAAACAGCAAAGTTTCTCATCAACATTAATATTATACATATTTAAAAAAATAAAGCATTTATAAAGAAAAAGAAACTACAACACACATTTTCTAAACAACACAATTATTTTCCTAAAGGCCCATAATTTGTTAAATATATGATGATACTTCATCATCAGAAGTATACAGCATATACTTCCATCTTCCTTACGTTCACTTTTTCTTCTTCCCTTTCCACTGTCCAATTTGAGGTTTTCCTTTGGTCCCCACATTCTGTCTCAACTGAAATGCCTGTCTCTCTTAAATGAAGAAACATTACCAATTTTGTAAATTCAACCAAAAGGACTTTTCATTGTCCCATTTATCCTCTCTGTTTTCACTTATCATCAAACTTCTTTCTATACTCTCCTATCCCCAAATAAATTTGTATTAATATTTGGCTTGCTGCTTTTGTATTTGTTTGTTGCATATGAATTTAACTGTTGCTTGTATACTAAGTATCCAAAACTAGGGTGCACCCTCTACTCTGCATTTTAAAATAAAAGAAAGCACACTACAGAACTTATCAACATCCCTTAAATGTATGAATAGAAGCCCATAGTCAATACCTGGAGAACTATCTTCTTATGTATGGCAAATTTTGCGATGATGTGTGCCAAAAGCAAATGTCCACTGTATTTGCATGCTGGGTCCACACATGCCTTGGACAAGAGGCAAGGCCAAGCAAATGTCATTAGTCGTCGTAGTTTGCTGTTCCGGTTTTTGTTATTGTCATGAATGTGATGTGGAGCATGCTCAACCAGAAGCGTGGCAAACTGCAAGAGATATATCCTGAGAGAATCCAGCATATCAGCCTGTTTTTCCGGATCAAGTACCTAGTCCCAGGGATGATCAAAGAAGAGAGGAGAAAGGCAAGAAAAACAAAACAAAGCAAAACTTTATTATCTAGAAAAGCAAAGTCCTATTTTTTTGCCTTTTGAGTGTTTTTTAAGAAGCCTAATAACTACAATCAGATTTTTTATTCAGTTTAATACCCACAAAACAACTTCCTGAGGTGAGAACTTTTAGATAATGAGCACATCTAGGCACTTCTAAAGTGCTAACCTATTTAAAAAAAAAAAAAACCCCAAACCAACCCCAACCCTCATCTTCAATAACATTTATTTTGTAACTGCTAACTGGTTCAATGAAACCAAAGTGAATTACAAAGATACCAATGTTCAGTCATGGTAAGCTTTGCTTGTGAAAAAGACTAGAAATGGGCCTTATATGGCTGTAATCCTAAAGACAGACGTTCAAGTCAGAGACATAAACTGAAAATTGTCATCCAATCCTACTGATAAGTGATGGATCTCACAACAGTTCCAAGTTATGATGTGATTTGATATAACCAATCACAGCATTTAGAAATAGCACAACCAATTCAAATCAGGATTGAAGAGCCAAATGAGAGGAACAACTTTTTGTTTTAATTTTCAAACACTTTAATGTAAACACTGATTGTTACCTTTGTTATAAAAACACTAGTGATGCTTTCTGGATTATCTCCTTCTGGGTTTGGGGGTCCCAACAGCTGTTCGCCTTCTCCCTTTTCAAAACTGTACAAGAAAGCAGGATTCAGGATGTGTTGCAGCACCTACAGAATATAAACAAAAAACCAGTCATGCTCAACTATCGGATTCTTCTAATGGCAGTCAACATTCAAGTAATTTCACATGCAAACCTGCATGTTAGACACACTCACTGCATTACAAAAGGAAGCTATAAATAAAACCTTAAGAAACAGATACACACCGATTTTCTTCCCCCCTCCAAGGGCAAAGATTCTTAGAAAGTGTAAACTAGTCAGCACTGAAAGCAAGATGAATTGCTGTCTCTGTTTATTATCGCTCTTCTTCAGGTATGATATTTTCACCTAAATGTCTCCGCCAATTATCAAACTCGTTGACATTTAAGTAAGCGAGTTTTGTTGCCCTAGTTCCCAAGAAGAAAATTAAACCTAAATACCAGGCTTCTTTGATTTAATTGCTTTAGTTACCTTGGCTTTGAGCTCATCTCCGAAGTTTGGGTCATTGAAGTCCACAAAACGGAAGAACAAAGCCCGTTTTTGGGGAATACTGTAGTTTTTGGGGATCTCTTCTTCCATGTATTCCTTTAAGAAAGTCATATTGCAGAGAAATCGACCCGTAAAAGCCCGAAGCAACTGGAAGAGCAACTCGATATCACCATAATTCCTTCTGTAAAAAAAACATAATTTAAAAATCTTCTGTGAAAAAATACCCAAACTACTATGCTGATGACATGAAGAAACTGATCTTGGTTTTAAATGAGCAGAGAGCCAAGAGCAGGCAGTACCAGAAGCATGGTTTAAGAGCTAATGGCAGTATTATGAAATATATTAAACTTTCTCTTCAATAACTGCAAAGCCTTTTTAGTACCCCATATACCTTTACAGTATCTTCAAAATTTTTTTAAAAAAGTATGCAAGCTATAGGAAATAAATGTAAATATTTTTACATACTTGCAGTAATTCAGTAAGCAATATGCTAATAGCTTCGGTTCTTTCCAGTTTGTCGCAGCCATATTCTCCTTACGATGTCTCTCCTGAAAAGCTTCACTCACCCATACACGTTTCAGCTGATTCACCAAGGAATGCTGATTTGCTAACCAACATTCATCATTCTTAACAATAATACTGATGATCTGTCAAAAGCAAAACAAGACAAATGCACAGTCAACGTGCAACAGATCTGTCAGTAGAAACAATAGCATAAAACCACTTCTTTAAGGTCAATTAAGGGTTCTAAAATATTAAAGAGTCAAATAAAAACTAGTTTAGATCAATTTTTAAAGGAATTTCTTTTTGTTTTTAAAAAAATTTCTGTTGCCCTGCTTTCCTCTTGTATCTCGCTTGATTAAAGAAACAGTATAGTTCATTTGAGCCTCTTTTCCCTTCCTAGAGTGACTCTGACTACAAACAATTTACATTTTTACAAGGGTTTTTCTACAAGCTATAATACATACACACACACTTGAAAGCCTGTATGTAATAGGCTTGTAGCTAAAGAGACTTTTTTTGCAGAGACAAACAAGAATAAATTAATACCTTTATAGCCTGAAACTGAAGATCGAGACGCATTGTGGTAGTGCTTGGAGAACCAGGTCTAACAGCTGCTTGGGTACCAACAGGTAACAGTAGAGTGATAAATCGGTTAGGATTAGCTGCCAGTACATCTCGTAGAGGTTTGGCATCTTTATGTTTTAAGAAACTCTGAAGAAAGGGAAGAAATAATTTTAATAACAACCTTTAAAAGCAAAAATACCAAAAGGCTATATCATCCTGTAGCTTTTATATTCCTCACTAAAGTTGCAGAGGTTGTATTTCACGTATATAAAAATAACGTCTACAACTTCAGTAATAATCCGACATGATCTGGAAAGGTATAAAATCAAGATCTCAGAACAAACAAATACGAAACTGAGAACAGGCACCCTACAATCAGAATAAGACCATGATTAAGGACTACAAGGTCATACAGGGAAAAAAAGATGGATGGGTGGTGAAGCACTGGAAGGGGTTGCCCAGAGATGTAGTGGAGGCCCCATCCCTGGAAACATTCCAGGTCAGGTTGGACGGGGCTCTCAGCACCCTGATCTGGTTAAAGCTGTCCCTGCTCACTGCAGGGGGGGTGGGCTGGATGACCTCTAAAGGTCCCTTCCAACCCAAAGCATTCTATGATTCTATGAAAAGATGAAAAACTTGTCGTTCATCAGAAATTTGAAGATGAGGGCTTTTTCCTGCTCCCCTCCTCACACAGCTTACCATAAACATTCTGCTCCACTGTGGATCATTTAAAGTGGCTTCCATCATGAACAGCTCCACAGTCTGGGATGGATGACGTGTCAAAAATTTTATCAGTGGTTCCCTGAATGGACTGCCAGCCTGAAAAATTCGTAAAGCTTAAATTAAAAATGCAGAGTACAGAGTATTTTCTACTAATTTACTAGCACTCAGAAAAATACATTTGACTTGGCATTTATGCAGATACAAAATGTTCAGAACTTCTATGATGAGAATTTATTGACAATTTCAAAACTTCACTTTTAAGAGACTAAGACAAATGTTAACACCTCCTAAAAGGCTTGAAGAGCATATTTATTTATTACATCAAATGTTCCCACACCATGTTTAAAATACTATAATTGTTACATACTAATGTTTAAAAATACTGTAAAGCAAAAATATCAGCAACGTGCACTTCCACTTTTACCTCAATTAACATTGCTCGTTCTGTTTTCATAACAACTTCCAGCAGAGGTTTAACCAAAGTCTGAGGGGCAGCTGGGATCAGGTGGAATAAATTTATAATCGCTGAACAAATCTTCATTTCCTACAGGTAAAAAGAAACACAATTAAATTAATATTACCAGCTAAATTTATAAAAACAGTATCACACATCCTACTTTTTTTTTTCCTCTCTATATTAACATAGCCAGCAACCAAATGCAAAAGGTTAACATGTATACAGCATCTACTTACCATGATGTATGGAGAAAATTGCTCTTGTGGAAGTCTGCCCTTCCCCCCTCATAATATCATGGCTTAATTTTATTTTCTTTGTCAGTATAGTGGTGTTTTACAGGTCAGAGCTAAACACTGTGTAATGATAATGGTGATGGGGGAGTTACAGAGTGCTCACTCTACTACACCAAGTGGCTCATGCATCAAGAAGCCAGACCTTCCTTTCTAAACCATTTCTCATATACACCCCACAACTCCAGACTAGACATGAAGAAAAAGACATACAGCTTTCTCACAGCACCATCCAGTGTATCTTGCAAACAGCTGTTTACTTCAACGAAAAGTCAGGTCTGTTCTCCCACTAGATACTAAACTCTTCTGAAGTCCAAAATAATTTTGTGTTTTTCTTTCATTGTGTAATTTAAATGGGGACTATATTTCAGTTAACTAAAGTGTGGCTTTCATTCAGGAAGAAAAGGGAAAGGAAAAAACAAAACAAAACGTCCACCCTCACCATCCCTCTAAAACCAATTTCTAGTATGCAGTATACAAAATAACTTCATGAAGTGCATTGCATTTCCTCAGCTGAATTTAAACACAGACTATTAGGCCCCACTCCTTTTTAACATGATCTGCCTAGACAGACCCCCATAAGACTACTCTCATGGATTGAAGTGCAGGACTGAGAACACGTATAAAATCTTTTGAAAGCATTTACGCCTTCACAGAAACTAAAAATCCTGCTCTTCCTCATACAAACATGCTTAACATCCTTAACAGCAATGTTACCAAAACAACTCTGCCACAGACAAACAGAAGACAATTCACAGCACTGCACTCAAAGGCACAATGCACTCTGCCCAAAACACAACAATAAAACTAATAAACCACAGTTTAAATGAAATAAAAAACAAAACAAAACAAAACAAACAAGAAAAAAAAAACCACCACAACAAAGAACTTCCTGGTGCCTCCACTGAGTTTCTCACCTCTACCCCTTCCGCAGCAGGCTGAACCAAAACAGAAGTCACAGCATGAAAAGAAAAAGCCCACAAAAATATCAAATAAATGAACAAATCAGTATATGCTATTCTTCAGGATGCAGTCAGAAACTGACTTCAGCAGGGTTATTTTCTCATCTCAAACTGAAAGAATGGAGACAATGAGTATCTCCCATGCTCTGAACTGCTCTCCTAAGAATTAGGATGAAAAGCATCCTTTTTTCTACTTGTACATTGTTTAGACATAGCTTCTCAAATATTTGTAGTGATTAAAAAGATATCAGAGATTATTAAGTCAGGGGAAACAATATTTTAGCATCTTCAAAGACGAATTTGACCAGCATCAATTATGAAACCACTTTCAATACTTGAACTACCAAGCTATAAAGTCCTTCTAATAGGCTGTAATGCAGAATTTCCACCATGGTGCCACTGTTCACAAGACAGAGACAACTATCTATTCAAAACTTGTTTTTTGAGTTACCAGACATGACCTTAAAAACCACAGCCTTCCT